TAGGGGGAGGGTTGAGATCTCAAAAACATGTTTAACCCCGCCGCATTTATGCGCCTGTCCCAAGTCAGGAGCCTCTGGCCTTTGTTAGTCTTGTATCATTTTTAATTTTAGTTTCTTGTGTATAATTTGGAGTTTAGTATGACGTCCATTATCACTGAACTAGTATACATATTTGTTTAGGGGCCAGCTGAAGCACGCCTCCGGGTGCGGGAGTTTCTCGCTGCATTGAAGACCAATTGGTGGCCTTCGGTTGTTGTCTGCTCTATGGTCGGGTTGTTGTCTCTCTGACACATTCCCCATTTTCATTCTCAATTTTATTGTAGTTCAAAGTAAATCTGATATGGCATGGTAATATTTATAGTCTGAATGCAAATTAATAGTTTAAAATGATTGAACATATCGAAAATTTTGGCACTTTTAGAAAACGCTTTAATTGTTCGAACATTGCCAGAAAAAAATTATCGTGTACTTCAGGCAAACAATTGCTGAAAAAATAAGTCTTTATTAACCTTGAAAATCACGAAATTTTATGGAATTTTCCCGTTTAAAATTTATAAAATCTTCAAACAATTTGGCTTACAGACATAACAGACCGTTAGTTTTCTCAATTGAAATGTTTCATATTTTTCATGTCGGGGACTTTTATAGCCGGCCATACGGTATGGGTTTTTTCTCATTGTTGAAGGACTTACGGTTGCCTATAATTGCTTAAATCAACTTCATTTGAACTTTGGTGGATAGTTGTCTTATTGGCAATCATACCACATCTCCTTATTTTCATATAAACATCTCAAATTTCAAATCCATAAATTTTTCTTAGGAAAAAATAGATGTTGTGTTGATAATTTAACGACAAATTTATTAATAAGAACGTTTTTCGCCGATTTAATTGCTTTGTATACAAATGTTTACCTATTTAGAAAGAATTCAATCAGTACTATTTCAGAAAATAAAAGAGAAAAAATGCATTAATTTTTTCGATTTTCAGTTATATTTCAACAAGCCAAAGTTGTATGCAACATTTTACCAAATTTGTGACATAGTCCATTTACTGTAACTTGACCTTAAGTACAACCTATCGCTTAGCACTGAAACATTATTACTACATTATTCAATCCATTTCCATTCTCCGGAGGACCAAAATTTTTAAAAGTTTTGCCAAATACAGCTAAGGTAATCTATTCCTGAGGTAGAACAGCCTTAGTATTTCAAAAATTCAAAAGTTTTGTAAACAGTTAATTTATTAAAATGACCATATCAATGAAAATTCATGTCAGCACAGAAGTGCTGACTACTGGGCTGGTGATACCCTCGGGGAATTAAAACTCCACCAGCAGTGGCATCGACCCAGTGGTTGTAAATAAACTCATCATAGATACCAGGATTAATTTTGTATTTACGCCAGACGCGCGTTTCGTCTACAAAAGACTCATCAGTGACGCTCGAATCCAAAAAAGTATTAAAAAGGCCAAATAAAGTACGAAGTTGAAGAGCATAGAGGACCAAAATTACTAAAAGTTTTGCCAAATACAGCTAAGGTAATCTATTCCTGAGATAGAAAAGCCTTAGTATTTCAAAAATTCAAAAGTTTTGTAAACAGTTAATTTATTAACTGTGAGTACTCTTATTTCAGTGCATTGTGTCTATTGTTGTTGTTTTTGAGCCTCGTACCAATTGCAATTTATCTTTACAGTTTGTTCTTATGTTGTGCTGTTCGATACTGTCCCAGGTAAGGGGAGGTTTGAGCGCTCACAAACATGTTGAACCCCGCCATATTATTTATGTCTGACCCAAGTCAACAGCCTGTAGATCAGTGAATGTTGTTGGTTGATGTCTGTCATATTTGTTTTTCGTAAATTGTTTTGTTATAAATTAGGCCGTTGGTTTATCTCGTTTGTATTGTTTCACATTGTTCATATTGGGGCCTTTTAATAGCCGACTATACAGTATGGGTTTTTCTGATTGTAGAAAGCTTTTATTTTTCCTATAATTGTTTACATCCAATTCATTTGAACTCTGGTGGATAGCTCTCATTGGCAATCATACCGCATCTCCTTATTTTTATATTTTATACCCGACTTTTAAGGGCATACGATATAATTTTGATCCCACGGTGATATATTTACGAAAATTTGCATACAAGTTATTTTTTACCTAGTCAATTCAAATATGTAGTAAAAAATATACCTACATGATCTACTTTTAGAGATAAATGGGGTCGAAATTTTAGACGTTTACTCAAAACTTCGGTTTCTTTGACATTTCTATTCTTTGGACAGACATACCTTGTTTAGAAGTTTTGCTGTACCTGTAGAAAATTGATTAAAAACGGGATAGCACATCTTAGTTTTTACGGTGCTGTTGCGTAACGAGCCCGTAAAATTTAGATTTGATCCGGGTAAACTTATCGATCCTTTAAATAAACTTATTCTAAAAGGTTACCAATTCAACACTGTTATTAAATCTTTGAATATTGTTTTTATCGGTATTAATATTGATTTTGTTACCAATAAATAAAATCCAAACTAAATATTATTGTTATACACATATGAACATTCACGGCCCTACAATCTGTCGATACCTATATTTTGGCATTGTCTCGGAATGACGTCTTTACACTAAATCAATTGGATGTTAGATGTGTACTGATGATTATTTCAGTCTCAGATACATGGTTTTTTAGTTGATTTTGTCTTTGAACTAGCTTTCAGTAACTGCGAGTACTCTCAGATATGTATTTTGTGTCTTTTGTGTTTTTGATAATTGTTTTGTGCTTTGTATCGATCTGAATTTTATAGTTTGTTCTTATGTGGTGATGTTACACCACTGTTCCAGGATAGGTGAGGGTTTGCGCTCCTACAAACATATTTAACCCCGACAAATTATATAATGTGCCTGTCCCAAGTCAGTACCCTGTAATTAAGTGGTTGTCATTGTTGCTGCTAACTGTAACCCAGCTTTTTTTCGCGGATACTTTATTTCGCGTTTAGTCCTTTCTAGCACACTTCGTGGCAATTTAATTTCGCGATTTTCAAATTTAATTGATGTAGTTAAATAAGAACAGATCTAAGTTTTACATATTTGCGACTATTTATATTCGCGTTATTTTTCTACTCGGGAAAGTCGCGAAAATAAGTTGGTTTACAGTATCATTATTGTTTTTTGTTTTGTTTTAAATAAGGCCGTTAGCTTTCTCGTTTGAACTGTTTTACTTTTGTTATTTCGGGGCCTTTTATAGCTTGTTATGCTATACGGGTTTCGTTCATTGTTTACCCACCATAGAAGCAGGATAACAAGACGTTTTATTTGTACAAGTACAAAACAGCAAACATTTATTTGTATACCTGTTATTTGTTCAATAGTTGGCTGACTGCAGGAAAAGTATATTTATACATCGATGGGGCGTGCAGCACAATAGACAACCCTTTATTAAAAATTCATTTTAACTGTCTGAAAGATGTCAAGAAAGTATATTCCTGTAAACCTTTAAAACCTCTGAGACAAGAAGATATATAGAAAATAAACATGTGTCATACCAAAAGAGTCGCAAACGGTGCAATAACTCCACCAATGTGGGAACCAAAAGCACCTAGACCTAATCCCATATTTCTACAAAAGACATATCCTATATAAAGATTTAAAATATGGTTTAATAAACGTGTATACAAAATAATTCATTTTCTGTTACAAAATGATGCAAACATCTATGACAATACAACATACAAGACCTATCACCAAAATCGTTATCTTACGTACAAACAACAACGGACAACACATTCATGGTCAAGATAGCCTGACAAAGTTAACAGGGGTATGCTTCTGGCACAAAAACTGCTACATGTACGACAGTTATGAGGAAGAACAACTGACATCGACACTACATAAATTTTACGGTCACAATCGCGCATTGGTTGACCGGAACAATTTGTCGGTATCTCAACTCACTAGTGACATGTTTCTTTAAATACAAGTATAGTCGTCTGATCTGTAATTTTACCAATTGTGTCTCATTGTCGATTATGACATTTTGATTGAATGTGAATTCGCATGGTGGGTGATGCATTCATATCAGGAACCGTTTAAACTTTCGACACTACTGGTATCGCTCCTTTTGGCGTACCAAACTATCAGCCCGGTATTTTGATGAGTAATCATTCCCATCTTTGCCTATGTAGACCATATGTCATTAAAGTAAAATACAAATACAATGTAGTCATGAAATAAAAGTTCATCGATTATAATGTTTGCTCCAAATAGAAGACATATTTGGAAATATTATTCCCACTGCAAGAAATATTAAAGTATTTGTTATTGAAGGAATCAAGTGTATAGAATACTGATTACAACTTTTCCTCCAGAACTTTTGTTATGAAAAACAAGTGTATATTGACACAGATGACAAAAGTTGAGCTTTGTAACTAAATAATTTTAAACCTATCATCTTTTGTTGAAATTGGAGATAGTCATGGCATTGATGCATGACAACTAAAACTTTCTAAAGGTGTAATTAAACAATGTTAAGTCAAGATAACTTTTTTCATACAGAATAGAACATTAAGTGCTTATATATTTCTAATTGGTATGAACCATGATAAACAAACAAATGTGTCAAATGTTCACTACTGCCTAGAAATATGAAAATGAGACGATGTGGTATGATTGCCAATGAGAGGTTCGTTTCTAGCAGTACTTTAGGAAATAAAGATGGTTTAAATCATTCAGATTGTTTGGAATTTTGTTTATATTATCAGAGGTATTTTTTTGCGCATTTCGATACATACTATCTTCTCGGTGATGCTCAAGACCTAAATGGTTGGAAATCGATGACAAACATTGAACTGGTTAAAAGATACAAACGTACAGTTTAGGCATGCTGTGAAACAAGAGCTATGTGTGAGTTAATTTCAATGTGATTGCCCAATATTACCCCTTCTGAAATATGAATACTTTTAAACAAATCCTTCATTTCATTCCACTTATACCAGTTGAATTACCTTAAATTTGTAGGAAATGTCTCTGGTGTATATATGAATATTGCATTGTAGGAACCTGCTATACCTGTTTTGGCTATAAAACTACAGGCGATGGCCAGCTTTACAAATATTTCATGTTTCTCTGAAATAGAGTACATGTACATGTATATACAATTGTGTGTAAAATTCACATCTACTAAATTAGACATTATACTTGGGGCGATTTCGAGCTTAAGGTATTGTATAGATACTTTTCTCTCCCATTGACGTACATCTTATCTTCATACTTTAATTACTTTTGAATCATAATATCCCCGTACTTAAACAATGTATTTATCAAAACGTGAAAAAAAATCTGTTACCGTCAAAAAGAAATACGGTAGTTGATTATAAAAACTGATGGCACATCCTTTACGAATTTGATATATAGGAGAGAGGCGAAAGATACCAAAGGAACATTCAAACTCATAAGTCGAAAATAAACTGAAAACGCCATGGCTAAAAAAGAAAAAGACAAACAGACAAACAATAGTACACAAAACACAACATAGAAAATTAAAGACTGAGCAACACGAACCCCACTAAAAACGGTATGATGCTCCTGAAGGGTAAGCAGATTCTTCTCCACATGTGACACCCGTCGTGTTGCTCATGTTAGTACAAACCCGGTAATAAGTCTAATTCGGTAGGTCACATTCGGATTATAGTTACGACATTAGGAACATATCTGCTATCATCTGTGAAACGGATATTCCGTAACGGTCAACTCACTCGTGATGGCGTCCGTAAAATTAAGGGAAGACTTCAACTTCACCTCTTGGAACTCTTGGTTTAATAGCTGTCTTGTGAGCAGCAACCCTCTATCAAGGAAATCATGATAGGAAATACAAGCCTTGGAGTATCGTATCAACTGGGAGATATATACTCCGTATGCAGGCCCTGCCGAAATGTTGCTACATAAAAATGGAAAGTTTACAATTGGGAAGCTGAAATCATCTCTTTTGTCATAAAGTTTTGTTTTCAACCGACCCTCATTGTCAATTTCTAGACGTAAGTCAAGATATGAGGCAGACTCAATCTGTTGCATCCTTTATCTCAAGTTCGATGGGATAGATGCGTTAAACATAGTCACCAAATTCTGAATTATTTAGTGAGAGAACATCATCTATGTAGCGGAAAGTGAAGTTAAAGGATAATGCTAACTTCTTTTCTTTCTTCCTAAGAAGCTCCTGTATTAATTCAGCCTCATATGAATAAAGGAACAAGTCGGCAAGAAGAGGACACAGTTGGTCCCATGGGAATGCCGATTGTTTTTTGAAAAAACGTCTAACAAATATGTTGTAAATCAAGAAATCAAGCATCTTGATAATGTCAGTTTCAGAGAATTTTTTGTTGGAATCAGAGTGATTTTTTACAAAATAGGATTTATCCCTCCCTAAGACAAGATACGTGTATCTACGTTGGCCATTCAATTTGTCTTTTAGTTTGGAATGGGGAATACTTGTTTAAAGTTTAGTAAAGTCAAATGTTTTAATACTATTACAAGATGAAAGAGTCTTAGATTGTATGTACTCTAAAAGATCTTTGGAATTTTTTAGTATCCACATCTGATTCACGCCACCTCTAGAATAGATAGTTTCACAATAACATTGAAGCCCGGCTTTGATTGCTGATAAAATTGATCTTAATAATTTAGAAAGAGGTTTCGTGGAGCACTTGGAAGACCCTGCAATAAACCGTTGTTTGTAAGGACACTTAAGGACGCCATCACGAGTTGGTTGACCGTTATGGAATAACCGTTTCACAGATGATATCGGATATGTTCCTTATGTCGTAACTACAATACCCTTCCCTTTTCACGAATGTGACTTACCGAATAAGACTATTTACCGGATTTGTAATAACATAAGCAACACGACGGGTGCCACATGTGGAGCAGGATCTGCTTACTCTTCCGGAGCACCTGAGATCACCCCCAATTTTTGGTGGGGTTCGTGTTGCTTAGTCTTTAGTTTTCTATGTTGTGTCATCTGTACTATTATTTGTTTGTTTGTCTTTTTATTTTTGGCCATGACGTTGTCAGTTTGTTTTCGATCTATGAGTTTGACTTTCCCTCTGGTATCTTTCGTCCCTCTTTTATGTAGGTTATGTATCCAATACAGTGATGGAAGATCCAGTTCTTCATCTTTGGTTGAAATTCCAAAGGAACATAGAACAGACCTATGATTATTATTAAGTGTCGTTGGGGTATATGTTGAGTTTCCAATTGAATTGTCAATACCTAATTAATTTATCAAGCAGTTTATGTAATGTGATTTACACACAAAAACGATGTTTTTGGAGGGCTTTATCTGCGGGGACAACAACATATTTGTCATGGAGGTAGGACAAGTGTTAAGCAGGATTTGGGTCTTTAAAGATTGATGTAGCATGGGTATTAATAGACCCATTCAGTTTCTTAATCCTGATTTGTATTTTAACGACCTCACAGCCGTAATCCATTCGGAAAGAGTATCTACGTCTTCTTTCTCGTCTTTAGCTCATTGCTAGGCCTGGCATAATCCTCGACTGAATCCATCAGTATTTTGAAGTTTTGTTTCCAATTGATGGATTTAGGCTCACGATATTTCTGACCTTTGGATAACACATTTCGCAGAGAAGTGTTATTGACAATGTTTAGGTCACCCGTAAGAAGGTGGCTAGCCGGATTATATATGAATGGGGAACTAGCACAGGTGCAATCAAGAGGTTTAGACTTGAAGTCGTCAATATTGAGATCCTGCAACACGTGTTTGTAATTGAAAATTTTAGTTGCATTTTGTTTGGTATAGGTATAAGAAATGATAGGTACAGACTGATCTTTGAAATAGGGAGGTATTTTCGAGTGAACTAATTTATGATGAAGGATATTGCCCAAGTCGCGACCTTTGTTGGCAAAAGAAAGTTCAAGAAAGGATCTTTTCTCTTTTTCATCTTTTCCAATGTAAACTGGTTTGAAAAGTCTGTGACTTGCAATATCCGAAATGATAGCTGTGTGTTTGTATTGGTTTGAATGAGGGTTTGTAACAGTGGTTTCCAAACATAAATTGTACATAGAATGAAGTTTTGAAAGGGGTAATAAATAAAGATTCGTGCGAATGTGATGAATACCTAACGGCTTTTGTATAAATGGCAGTAGGTCATTAATAGAGACATCATGGAGAGAAGGTGATGTATAATGACGATGACCACGACTGCGTCTACGTCGAGGAGCAGAGTTGAAAATGTTCATCACATTCACCGACCTATAGGAAGGACTAGATAGAATACCTATACCATCAATTTTGTCATTGCAACCGTATGGTGTCGCAGTTTCCAATTATCGAATCCAGTAGTCTTCTTTCTGTCTACGGAGAGGTGTTGCAAGATGAGGATTGTTAGTCGTGTGTTATATTTTTTCGATGATGCGAACTTGCATAGAAACGATTGAATGATCAGGCTGGTTAAAATGCTGGGAAACAATGTCGCTAGCACTGTTGATGTCTGATCTATGGCCAAACATACGTTTACTTAGCCTTCCTTTCGTTTCACCGACGTATACCAATCCGCAAAGGTTACAATCTAATCCCTTGACGACATTTGTCGATTTACAATTCAGATCATCGCAGCTTCTGGTAAAATAAGACTTTTTAGTTAAATTGCTAGTGAATTGACCATCTGTTATTAAAATTCCACAGGTTTTGCAGCCTGTGGCTTCACATTTTGAAATGAGACAGTGTTGTTCAGAGTCATCAAAATCAAAGATGTCTTGTAGAAGAACTGAACACAGATGCGTACGAACATTATTGCCGTTGTCATTAGTATGATGATCTGAATGTGTCATGTTAGGGATATTTGTCATGTCTGGTGATGAGGGGACACCTGCCATATCAGACGACACCGTGTCCATGGTGACGTCTGTTTCTGACCTTTTTATACTGGGCGACGTCCGAGCCAGTATTCTGTTTGATCTTTGTAACTTCATGCGTGTAAGGCTACTGGGCGGATGATGTCCTCGGGGACAAAATGTCCACCAGCAGAGACATCGACCCAGTGGTTGTAAAAGAGAGGCGAAAGATACCAAAGGGACATTCAAACTCAAAAGTCGAAAATAAACTGCCAAAAAGACCAACAGACAAAACGAGCAACACGAACCCCACCAAAAACTGGGAGTGATCTCATGTGCTCCGGAAGTGTAAGCAGATCCTGCTCCACATGTGACACCCGTCGTGTTGCTCATGTTAGTACAAACCCGGTAATAAGTCTAATTCGGTAGGTCACATTCGGCAAAAGGGGACGGGATTGTAGTTACGACAGTATAAACATATCCGCTATAAGTCGACGTTCTTATTTTTTGGTGAAGACTGTTTGCTGACCTCTCTATTTCTTTTCTTTTCTACGTTGTTAGTTGTTGACTTATTGAAGTAAATAAAACATGTTTTTTTATTAACTGAATTTTTCACTTGAATTAGATATATATCTTTGACTGATATTTAACATTTGAAAACTAATGTTCAAACTCCCTGAGATAAAACAACGTTCACCTAATACTAGTACCTACTTAGTTGTTCTTCTCTTTTCGTCTCTTTTGTTTAGATAAATACCAGATCAATTTTATTCAATTCAGATTTGAGATACAACTAGTATATTGATGTTACCTCTAAAACTAATCAATACAACAGACAGTATCATTGGTATACCAGCCAGCAAATGGAAGCCTATAGTTAACTTTTTTCTGCTGATGCTGCATAAAGAAATGCAATAGTTATAAGGAAATATACTATTGTGTGGTCATTGTCAAATGTATATTACAAGAAATATGCACGAATGTAAAAGTGTGTGTTTAAATTTACTCCCGACAACTGACAGACTTAGATATGATATTGCGTCATACAGTGTAATGAATATCGGCAACCATATCCTTGATATAATATGATGTATGTTTATAAAAATTCCGAGAGGCAGAACCGAAACATTGGCTAGAGGTATAGGGGGAGGGTTGAGATCTCACAAAACATTTTTAACCACGCCGCATTTTTGCGCCTATCCCAAGTCAGGAGCCCCTGGCCTTTGTTAGAGTTGTATGTTTTTTTTTTTAATTTTAGTTCATTTATATGTTTTGGAGTTTAGTATGACGTTCATTTTCACTGAACTAGTACACATTTTATTTAAGGGCCAGATGAAGCCCGCCTCCGGGTGCGGGATTTTCTCGCTGTGTTGAAGACCCATTGGTGGCCTTCGGCTGTTTTCCGCTCTTTGGTCGGGTTGTTGTTTCTTTGACTTATTCCCCATTTCCATTCTCAATTTTATATACTAGAGAATTAGTCTACCGTATTGACGTTAGAAGTACCTGTTCGTGTTCATCAAAATCGCAAATACGACACATGATGGATATTCCACCAAACCATTGACAAAAAAGTTCAGGAATCTACTACCTTCCAATTGTACGGAGGAATACAATAGTCCATAATACGTCATACCATTTGTAAACCTGGAATTTGAAAACAAAGTAGAGTAGTACATTTTACTTTGACAAGACAAGAGCGAGCGCTTGAACTGAATAATAAAGTTCTTCACAAACTTGTTCAATCTTTATTTTGTTCAATGCTTTGTGTAGTGTCATTCTATGACAACCCAACGTCATTGAATAACTATACCAACAAGCGTATTAAATAATAATAAAATATCGATTGATATTACACCGCATAAAATCTTTTATAAAATGAAGAATTGTCTATGTCATCTGCATTTTGTTGGGCATCTATGTATAAAATAAGAGACATGGATGATTTTTTTTAAGTTTCAAAAATTTAGGGAATAATTGTTGATGAAACCTACTATCATCAAAACACTTATTAATATAACTATCAATTACACCAAGAGTCTAAAGAATAAATTGTCGATGGACCCAATCTTGAAACATATATTTAATTTTTGTATACATATTTTTGTATCGCAAGACATTTGGAACCATAATCAATTAATTTGTAAAAGTCTCTTATTATACAAGCTTTGTTGTCGATCGAATTAGGTTTTGTTTTGAAATGCATTTTATCATGATAAATACTCAAAAGTTACAATCTTTCAGACCTAATGAATTGATTCCATGTTAAGAAATACGTAATTATGATGTCAGAACCTCAAAGTACACATATGAAGCTGTGATTCTTTGATCTGTAATGTTGATTAAAATACATGCTGAAAATAACCCTAATCTATTTATACTTTATATTTAGCATGACACTAGCAACCTATTCGACAAAGTGTAAGTTCCCAATTCGGGTAATACATTCTTTCTTTTCTATTCTATAAACTTTACTTGAGTGAATATCCCGGCTTATCCTTAAAATTGATGGGTAAACTTGAAAAGCTATATGAGCCCATATCCCCTGTAAGAAAAAAAAGACGATCAGAGATCAGAATGGTAATCAATGATGAAATCATGAAATCCAATTTAATATAATTGTTATTCGGGGTACACATATATAAAAATAAAAGATGTCGTATGATTGCCAATGACTCAACTAGAATCTAATACTCATTATGAAGTTAACCGACTAATATGTATGAAAAAATTGGGTTTTGACCAAAATACCACAATTCTCGCGATAGTCCGAGCGGGGCGTAGAGTCATTTGGACAAACATTATTGTTTCTGAATCTGTTTCAACAGAAGTGAACAGCGCTATGACATTTGTTTTTAACATTTAGTATTATTTTAGATTATCTTTAAATTAATTACCATGTAAACATCCAGATCAGAGCTATTTTACACATAAATGCATTTCTAAAAATAGAGATTACTGTCGGCGTATTTGAACTCTTAGATGTGACAGGATTAACTACTGATGTGACATGTATATCATCTTTTTCATATCTTGGATTGTTTTCCACTTCACTATCTAATGAGTTCAACAATGGTACAATCTTTTCTGGGTCTTTGTTGTTTTTCTTTGCAATCTTTTGAATTAATTTCTGTGCCTCTTTCATTTTACCGTTAGCTACCAGCCACCTCAGAGATTCGTCACATAACCTAAATATAAATGTACGTTATTGTTCATTTTTATTTGCTTTTTTGTTTACGTTTTTGTTAAATATTGAACCTTTTCTTGTATGCTGTAAATTCTGAAATTATTGCGTGCATTTATTATTGCGATTTTTGAAGAATGGACAGATTGAATGCGAGATTAATTATTGCAATTTTAGGAAGATCTGCATACAGATATCCTTATTATTGCGATAGTCACTAAGTTGCAGTATTCGCATTAATAAAAAGATCGCAATAATTTCTGAATTTACAGTAGTTAAGTGTTTTTCCGACTGGTTTTTCCTGTACTGTTTTTGGAAAATGACGCTGTCAAAGCGTCAATTTTACTATACCATTGACCAGATGTCATTTTATCGCTTCCAAGCCGACTTCCGAACTCGATTCCGTATTTTACATACCTATATACTGTACAGAATTTCATTCTTAACCTGTCCATATGTTTATTGTTATTAAATGGTATTTTGAGCTAATTCCCTTTGGTATATTTTTCATATTTATATGAGCTTTTCTTTTATGTGCATGTCTTTACAATCCGTAAATAAATAAGAATATAAATAGATCCATATTGTTATGGTTTTGGACTTTTTACATACCAATGATAACAAATCGCTATCGCTAGGCAAAATAGTTCTTAAAAGAATGTCAACCTTTCTTGTCAGCTGAACTGTAAAATCATTCAAAAATAATAACGGAATCATCTTGAAATCATACGAAAGATAATGGTCTTTATCAAGATTTAAGAAGTTTTAAAGAATCGAAAATTAGTAATACGGTTATATCCACGCGGTGTGTATATATTTTGTTTACAAAGTTACTGCTGCAGACATAATATAGGTCAAATATCGCAGGTGCTAGTTCAATAAAAGAACAAAATGGCGATATTTGCAGAAGTTTTTCTGTCAAAAAGCCTTTATTTCTTTCTGGATTTTTTTCACTTTAAAAAGAATTAAAAGATGCAGAAACTTTATGAAAGGAGTAGGCAGTTTGCTCAATAAATCATACCAAAAGTATTTAAGGAAAGTTTTACCCTTTCTCTGACAACGTCGTCTCGTCCATTTTTGAAACATCTACGATTATTTCATTACTTTTTCGAGTTAACAACTAAACTATTGAACCTGTATTGTTTTGAGAAAAGCATTCCAGGTGTTCATTACAAGCCCGTATTTTACGATTTCTTGCATCGCTATTTTCAAAATCGGATACGAAAATTTCTTGAAAATAAATTAAAATATTTAGATTTGCCATCCACTTTTCAATAACTATTTATTAAATATTATTTTAAAATCAACGTTAACAGTGGATGGCTTGGATAAGGATTAGCATTTAATGATTCCTAGAGATACAGCAAATAATGTGTAAACAGGAAGTTGTGAAGGGAGACAAATTCAGTGGGAAAAAGTGCTAAAACAAGTATTGTCAAATCTTGTAAAATATTTCTGGTGGCAATAATTCACATATTCATAAAATTACCAAAAACAACTTTTAAAGGTGGTTGTAATGTTTCAATTGTCAAACATTTATTTATTGATAATCCACCTTAAATAATAAAAAAAACTTCTTTAAAAAAAATTTCTATCAAATTCATCTTGGAATATGATCAAATATGTTAGCCTTTTTTAAACATGTCTTTAATAACATTTCAGTACTTATGGAAAGAGTTATTCCATTTTTTCCTTTGATATTAAAGGATATACATGTACCTACTGTGCTACATTTGGGGACGGGTGGTAATAAAATCAAATTATTTAAGTTATCTAGGCATTTTAATTTTTAAAGGTTAATTAATAATTAAAATGTCACTTATTTGCATGTCTGATAATGCACATGGCACATGTATAAAAACTCCAGGTCTTTGTCTATTTAATATAAAATAACTAACATGGTAGTTATAAATAAATGTAACATCAAGTCAAAAACACGAAACTTAAGGTGAATCAATCTTAAATCGGGCGCTTATACCACAGCGTTATAAAAAAAATCCTGGGGAGAACACTGGATTGTATTGCTTTCAGAGTAATATAATACACCTTGCCTAAGAAAAAGGTCTAGCTAGGTCCCTATAAAAAAATGAGGCTATAATGATGTAAATTACTGTATTTACATTACAGCTGCTTTTTTTCATTTGAACCGGTTTAGTTCATTGTTGAGGTCTTGAAAGTGACTCATAACTGCCGACAGCCACATTATCTAGACTTTAGTGGATAGTTATCAGACTGTTATCTCATTGGCAATCATGTTACCACATCTCCTTATTTTAGTACGGGTTAATTATTTGAAATAATTGACTCACAAACAATAACTCATTTGAAAAAAAAATAATTATGCAATAATTTATGTTTTCATTTTAAGATTTCAGTTTATATATTTAATATACCGAAGAGATTAATTGTCGAAATCCGGATATGGTGTACAAATTTTTGCAGCTCATGTTAGCGGTATACCATCTTTTCCGCAAGTTTATTTTTTCTGTTTGGTAATAATTTAATAATAAGATCTATTTTGTTACATCTTGTGATCCGTTTATTTGGCAATCGCCAATGGCAGTCAGCAGGGTTTAAGAACATCAGTTGTTCGACCTGCTAGTCAAATGCGTTTTGTTAAAATATACTTTTTCACTCATTTGGTCTTTTGGAAAATGTTGTTTAGACCCCTCTACCAAGAAATTTGTTTTGCATGCACACGTATAAAAATTGCGGTTTTTCTCCAATGCAATCATAGGTTTGAACGTTGATTTCAATTTAGACTTGTTTATATATATATACATATAAATCAACAATGAAATTTGGTTGTACAAATGGTGTCACTATATTTGTAATTGTCAAACTAGTATAACAATACTATTACCCAAATCTACAGAATTCGCTACGACATGTGCATGGGCATATCAAAAGTCAAGTATCTTGTCAGTTGTTGTCTATCTTAACGCTACGACATGTGCATGGGCCTATCAAAAGTCAAGTATCTTGTCAGTTGTTGTCCATCTTAACGCTACGACATGTGCATGGGCCTATCAAAAGTCAAGTATCTTGTCCGTTGTTGTCCATCTTAACGCTACGACATGTGCATGGGCCTATCAAAAGTCAAGTATCTTGTCCGTTGTTGTCTATCTTAACGCTACGACATGTGCATGGGCCTATCAAAAGTCAAGTATCTTGTCAGTTGTTGTCCATCTTAACGCTACGACATGTGCATGGGCCTATCAAAAGTCAAGTATCTTGTCAGTTGTTGTCTATCTTAACGCTACGACATGTGCATGGGCCTATCAAAAGTCAAGTATCTTGTCAGTTGTTGTCTATCTTAACGCTACGACATGTGCATGGGCCTATCAAAAGTCAAGTATCTTGTTAGTTGTTGTCTATCTTAACGCTACGACATGTGCATGGGCCTAGCAAAAGTCAAGTATCTTGTCAGTT